GCAAGGGCAGCTAGGCGCAGTCCGCCGGCTTCCTGAAGGAGAAGAGGAGGTGGAGACGGTGGCTGGGTGCGAAGTGGCCGATGACTCTGCTGCTACATCTACCTTGAGGGAGAACACACGGACACGAGATGAGAAGTAGCTCCAGAGATGAGAAGTAGGAGTAGCTTCTGAGACATAAATATACTGTAATACCTTCAAATTTAATTAGGGTCCACGTATTTTTGGTTCCGACCCACGACTTAAGTTTCTTTTTACTTTTTTTTTGATAATGCATACCGCGACCTTATTGATTGAAGACAGTTACATCATTTAGTAAGAATAAAGCTAGGGGGCTCGTCGTCTTTCAGTGGTGTTTGGTTCAACCAAATGTAACGCAATCGGATTATATAAGGTAATAGATATCGATACTGTTGTTTGGTTGACGTCTTTCTGAAGCACATCATCCCCTCCCCCAAGATGTGCACCGAACAGATGCAGAAGTTGTGGATCACCATGCACGCAAGGAGGCCGTGAAGAAGGAGGCGGCGGCCGGGCCACCGCGGTGGACCTGCCCACGCTGCTCTTCGCTGGGGAAGCGACTTCATCACCGAGTTCGTCGATGGGGATCGGGCTCCGTCGCGGGTGTTCTTAACTGTTCATGGCCCAGCGTTCGTCATGCATCTGGACTGCAGCCTGCGTACTCAGCTGATACCGTTACGGTCCAAATCCAATCAAAGACGGGGATCTGAATCATTGTTTACATTTCCAGCGTCATTCCAGTCCATTAACATTTACGTTTACACTTGCTAACCAAACAACACCAGTTCCTCCTATTTTTAAAACATCAGATCTAACGAAATGGATGGCTCCTATTATTTTCAAGCGCAGTAAAATTTCACTAAAATTTTTCATAGCCTATATAAGTCGCCAAGGAGGATGAAAACGTCCAGGCAAGTCCAGTGACCTCTTCACCTCACCCCCTCTTTTTTCTCCACCTCTGATTCATGCCTGCATTAGACATTGATTTGAACCAGGAGCTGGATGAATCTGGCGACTTGTATCCCATAGATTGGGATGGCATCGTTGAGTATGATGGGCCAGCACACCAACTTGATTACGACATGGTTTGGGACGATGGAAACCAAGGTGCAAATCTACCAAGATCTTTGTTTTGCCTTTTGTTACTTCTGTCCATGAACTTATTCTTTCTTTTTCTGTGTTGCATCATTTGGCGAGCAAGGAGATGAAGGTGATGCTGATGGAGTGCAGTTACCTGAACCTGAACTCGATAGTGTGCAAGTTGCATCAACAAATGAAGGCGGTGCTGATGGAGTGCAGTTACCTGAACCTGAAGCCGATGGTGTGCAAGCTTCAGGTATGGTTCAGTTTCAGTGTACTGAATCTAGTTCAGTTCAGGTTCAGTGTATGAGTTTCAGTTTACCGCATTCGGCTTCAGAGTTCAGGTTCCTGCACTTGTTTTCAGTGAACTGCATTAGAGTTTCAGCTAGCTGCAATAGGGTTTGAGTGAAGCTGCAGTGAACTGCATTACGTTCATTTGTCGGATAAAGTTCAGTCACATGATACAAGTGCTAGTAGTGAGTGTTTTTCATACAAGTTTCAGTCCTGTTCCATACAAGTTTTAGTGACTGTTTTCATACAACTTCTAGTTCCAATGACAAAAAGAGGAAGTACTGTCCGCACGATCTAAAGCTCGCCATATACATTGACTTGTTGTCAAAAACTGATCCACCTATTCTTTGCCGTGGAGTTTCGAAATCAGTATCTGAAAAATTTGGTGTCCCTTAAGAGTCGTACAGACCATTTGGAAAAATGGTCAAGATGGTGGCATACAAGGAATTGTCAACAAGTATTCTAAGAATTGTGGTAGGAAACAAGTAGAAGTTGATTTGGAAGCCATAAAAAACATCCCTCTCAAGCAGCGAATCTACCTTTCAAGACCTCGCTAATGCTTTAGGAGTGAAGAAAAGCACTTATACAATCGTTTCAAAGAAGGCTTTAGGAGTATTTCAAGTGACGGAGAAAACATCGCTTTAGGAGTCGCCGGAGAACGGCCGCAACAGCGAATGCGCAGCGCAGTCGAGGAGTTGCGGCGCTTGGGGACGAGGCAAGCGCGTGCTCTCAATGTATCACAACGGAGACTTTTGAAAAAAAAATTTGCTCACACAGGGAGATAAATGAACGGAGGGAGTATATGTTAAACAACCATTTACAGAGGTGCCCCCCTTAAGAGTGCCAAATCTGTTAATTGATTTCTACATACAACATTTTTTAGAGTTCGGCCTCTGAAAATACCTATTTGAAGGGGAGGTTACCTTAAGATGCCCGCTTTTGTAAATCAATTAACAGATGTGCGAGTGTCAGCGTATTAAGATGACCACCCTTATAAATATCTATTTCAGAGGAAACCAACAAACACACGTCACGGTAAATGAATAATAGAGACTGTTTTTGCCTGGATCCCGCCTGGCTATTTTCATAGCTGCCTACTATAGATCGCCTCTGTTAGTTACAGAGCATGCCTTCCAAAATCTTTTTTCTTAAGTAGTGTCATGTGCTGAGAACAAAAGGCCCAACATGTGCAAGCAAAATCCTCATAATTTCCAAGGTTCCCACTTCAAGTTCAGCAGCTTGGTTCACCACCTGCAAATAAAAAAAATCCATGCAAGACTATAATTATCAACTTGCTAGAACATGAAACCATTGCTTTCTATTTCAGAAGTACTAACTTAGTGTTGTATATCGAGTTTTATTAGAAGTTAAATAAGCCTTAGGTAGACTTAAGCACAAGGCTTAATATAGTAGATCAAATGTCCTCAATAACCTTCCTTTATTATGTACTGGGAGAGACGCATATAGAAGTTTTTGAAGTTCTAAAACGACCTACGTTTAAAGAAGAGAATGCTAAAACAGTCAACACGTACAAGCAGCAGAAATAAGTTACTTCACTGACATGACGGCGACGCAAAAAGTTCCAAGAGTTATACAATGTGTCACAAATCATGACAGAAACAAAACATCAACGTGATTTGTATATAAAATTTGATGAAACATGATAACCAAGGTAGGTCACCTAAGAGCGTTGAAGCCTAGAGCAAGAGTCAATGACACAGAAGTTTATCTACAATTTTTTGTAATATTAGCTCTGTTGGATCAAAATCCTATAATCCCATACAGATTCTGGAACATTTTTAACACTAGGATTTTTAGAGTATCAAAATCCGATAGAACTTAGATAATATAGAATACAAGATTCCATAGATCTTTATCCTATCCAAAGGGCACCTTAAGATGCTCTAAACTACTCTAGTGAACAGACATTACCCATCACCCCTTTAAGGTCAGAGACTCAGGGTCATGAACTCATGATAAATTGTTCCTGTGCCACTGAAACTTTTTGGCAGCCCCTTGTATGTCACTGAAGTTATGTCACATGAGAGTATGAGACACACTGGGATACAATGAAACTGGGAAATTTCTTTCATTGTCATACTTCAATAAATTGATAATGCACTGTGGTTGCACACTTAGCTGTAGTGCCAGCCACCTGGGGCTAAAGAAAGGTGCTTTGCTAAGATGTGTCCTAGGCTGCCGATTTTAGGGAGCTTTTGTCAACGCTGCAAATTGAGAATTCCTTCTTAATGCATTGCCTCAGGGAGGTCTATCCCCTTTGAGCCAGTTTTTTTGAATTATATTCTATGTGATGCATTGTTCACTTTTACACATGAATTCTGGTATTCCAAATATGTTAGGAAAAAATAACAACCCTCTAACTATAGTTAATCATCTACTTCACCCTCTTACTTATTTTACTCCTTAAAGTATTGAAACCCGTTTAAATAACCTCATGATTGGTTTTTGAAGGTGATTTTTGTTTCATGTGGCGGGATACAATGGTAAAACAGCTACGCAAAAATATGCCTTGCAAAACTATGTCAAGGATCATTTGAAAGGTATTAGATACTTTAGTGGATATAATTTTGTCTTTATAGTTGAGGGTTACATAGTTAACCCTCCATATGTAAGGTGGTTATATATACCTTTTTTCTATTGTTTGTTGACTCACAGCTATATCATCATCCATGAAATTCGCCACGTCAACAAAAAAAAAACCCTTCAAAACCATCTTGAGGCCTTGTTTGGATGCATATGTATTCATCTCAATCCACATGTGTTGAAGTGGATTGGAGTGGAATTAAACTAAGTTCCATTCCATTCCACTCCAACACATGTGGATTGGAGTCAATACACATGCATCCAAACAAGGCCTGAGGGTTATTTAGACAGTTTTTAATACTTTAATTAAGGGATAAAATACCTGGTTTTGAGGTGAGGGGGTGAAGTATAGGAGCAATTAAGGAGGTTAAATAGATTTTACCAAACATCTTATGTCTTAAAAGGGGATTTGGTTGAGGATCCGATAGCCATAGATAACTTCTAGCCAAGGGTAAATAGTTAGCAATGCTTAATCCTAGTCAATTATTCTTTGGTCAACAAAAAATTATTTGATGATCTGCTAAATTTCTTCTTGCATAGGATTGTTGGCTACATGGTATGTAGATATTTTCAAACAAATATATCAGGGATTCCCAACAAAGTGTAACATCCTAGGTTGAACTTACATCTAACTATCATTTGTTGCAGTTGTGAAAAGTGACCATTGGATGGCTGAAAGAAATGTAAACATGCATGACTTTTGTATCCTCCGATTTACTCTGTACATAAATGCTCCTATTGCCTAATCCCTTTAAGCAAATACACAAACTAGACTCTATATCAGCAGACCATGTATGCTTGAAGCTGATGGTAGACGAATGGTTCTTGTGTCTGATGTTTCCTCCATAACTTAAATTTATGTTAAAAAAGAGAGGACAAAACAAGAATGCAACTAATCTGAGGGGATTAGTCAAAACATGATATGATAGCTCATAATAACTGAGATTATACTACGACAGGACACTTTGAGAGGCAACAAGGATTTGCACCTGCAAGAGGCCATGCCATTACTTGATCACAAAGGGGCGTGCCAGTCCACGGCATGTAAAATCTGCTTCCACCTTCAAGCTCTTGAGCCGAAACGCAATGTGATGTTGATAAGATGACCAGTTGTCGACGCAGAGAAGCACAATGCCACCGACAATTGCACGGACCTGATCCACACTTAGATACGCTGATACAGAGTCTAATATTAGTGGCACCTGTCGCTCCAACTCCCACATCTGAGCTCCATTGCCCTTATGATCATCATCACCTAATTTGAAACGCCACACTTGCATTAGTGGCACCTGTCGCTCCAATATTAGTGGCACCTGTTTGAAGACATGAACTAGGCAGCAGGTGCCATCCTCTGTCTCGCCAACGGCATAAGCTGACCGACGGGTCACACCGGGAGGGAGACGCATGTCAGAGAACGTCATCGTCTTGGTGTCTAGCGAGAGAAGCGAATCTGCAACGGCGTACTTCCAATAGGTGCGGTCGCCTGCGTGCATGGCAGGTGAATAATGTCCCCGGTAGATCTGGGCCATGTGGCTCCTGGTTGGTATCTTGTCTGTTCCAGCTCCTGAGAGGACGCGCCAAGCTCTGGTGCAGGAGTTGTACACCTCCAATCGAGCCAGCTTCTTGCCGTTCCCGTGCTGCAGTGACATCACACGGAACGCGCCAGCGTCGTCGCCGTTTGGGAGCAAACACAATGTGCGGCCGCGGTGGTCCGCGGCTCTGCCTCCGCGTCTTCGCAGCTGGTCAACAATAGACACGCGGTGAGTCATTGGATCGAACACCCTGAGCGTCCTCGTGTCGGAGAAGAGGAGGAGGCCGCCGCGGCAGTCCTCGAGGACGTGCTCGCCGGAGCCTTCGACCTGGATGCGGGTCAAGAAGAAGTCGCCGCGGCGGACCATAGCAGCGAGGACGCCGTCCGATTCCGACGAGCGCAGGGGCGCCGGGTGGAAGTGAGCCGGGGTGAAGAAGCGGTGGCCGTAGGGGGCCACGAAGTGGCCGAGCAGGAGTGGGTAGTCGTGGATGTCGCGGAGGCGGCGGAGGAAGGTCGAGGAGGTTGCGACGCGGATCCAGTGCTCGGAGGCGAAGACGGCGCGGCAGATGGCGGCAGCGGACGGCAGGCGGAGCAGGATGTCTGCCACTACATCGTCGGGAAGGGAGTCAATGGTGGTGGGCAGTGGCGACGATGCCGTGGAGGTGATCTTGCGCTTCTTCTTGTTCTTCATCATCTTGGAGTTGGAGGCGAGGGACGGAAAGGGAATCGGCAATCGGGGGCGGCGCCGGCATGGGCGAGGCGGCCCAAATTTGTAGTAGTGGTGAGTGGTGACCGTGTCTCGCGGTCTTCCAGCCTGTTCGTCGTCTCGGATATCGAGGGGGTCTCAGCTTGAGACCCGCTATCTGACCTCGTGTGAATGAATTTTTTTTTTGGTGAAGCCGGCTCCTGAGTAGCACACCCACACGCGATGCGTCACGTGTCCGTCTAAATGATCCAGTTGCAGCACGGTCCAAGGGCCTGTTCAGGGGCGTTTGGTATGGCTCCAGGCAGCCCCGGCTCCCGCTGACACCTGACATGGAACACTGTAGCAATGCTGTAGTCCGAAGCTGTTGTTCTCTCCCCACCTTTTTTTTCCCTCTCAGCGGTTACTGTTCACGGAGCCGGTGAAGCTCAAATTTCTAGCTCCGTCGGCTCCGGTTCTGTCACGCTACAGTCATACGCAGTGTAGAAGCCGAATCTCCTCGGAGCCGTACCAAACGAGCCTCGGTTTCTACGTGCTCCTAACATTTCTGTCACATCCAATATTTAGACACATGTATGAAGTATTAAATATAGACTAATTATGAAACTAATTACACAATTTACGATTAATTTGCGAGACGAATCTTTTAAACTTAATTAGTCCATGATATGGCAAGGTGGCGCTACAGTAAACACGTGCTAATGACAGATTAATTAGGCTTAAAAAATCATCTCGCAAATTAGCCTCTATCTATGTAATTGGTTTTGTAATTAATCTATATTTAATGCTCTTTATTAATATCTAAACATTCGATGTAACATAAATTTTAGGAGCGACTAAAGAACAAGCACCCACCAACTCCCAGCCTCGTATTCCTACTCCCTCCGTTAAAAAGAAAGCAACGAAGCGGATGGCATTCCTGGACGTATAGAAGAGGCTTTTCACGGCGTCTATGAATGCCTATAATATATCTTCGTCCACCAGCTTAACCCATCGCATGTTGAGGCAATGCAACAGTTCTTTTCGGATCCACAGAGAGAGCGATCGAGGCGTCGTAAAAAAAGCACGTCTGATCACCGATGATGGCTAGATAGTCGAGTAATAGCTCATGTCTTCTTATGCTAGGGAGGACAAAGCCGATTATATAACACTAACACCCTCCTAGTGTGCCATGTTCGTGGCGCATCGTTGTAACTTTCACTATTTCTCGATCTTAATATAAAGATGTGCAAACCTTTTGCATATTCGAGAACAAAATGCAATCCTACAATTCAAATTTTGTCCCAAAAAATTGCAATCCTGCATCAAAGGCTACCATATCGTATGACCCGGTGCCCTATCATCCACATGTTCCTGTCTTCCAAAACATTCCTGCATAGGTCAATTAACTGTACACAAGGGTATTTTGGTAATTTTGCTAGCTACCTTGGTATACACATTTGGTCCTACAATTGCGTTTTTTTGGGACGGGGGTAGCTGCAACTGGTCATAGCGTTCTAGCTTCTCTCTACCTTTTGGCGCGTGGCCATCTCTAGTTCTCCATTATCGTCGCCGCAACTTCAAGTTCCCGATAATCATGAAGACCATGGAAACGGATCGGATTCGTATGAAATCAGATTCGGATATTATTTTTTATCATATTTTAATTCGAATATAAATACAGATGCAGATATTTTTGAATACGAATACAAAATAAATGTTTCGATTTGAATTTATATTTGGATATTTACTCAATACAGCTCAAAGCATATATTATTAAATTCAACATACATGAATAAAATTGTTGTCGGGGTTATGATACTCCGGGTATCTCAGAACACCGATTAGTTAGCCGCTCGGACGACCCACGATGGCCCATCTAGCAGATGCCCAACAATCGTAGCTCGCCTAAGCTACAAAGGCCCCGGACCAAGCACCAAGTTGCGAGGTCCATCACCTCTTCCTCCTCCTTCCACTGCACGCTACGAGGCGCCACACGACCTCTCCTCCATCCTGGCCCCTGGGAAGGGGCGAAGAGGGGTCGAGCGGCATCGGGTACGCCAACCCTAACAGGGGCAGGCACGCCTCACTGTTGACGGCAGTTATCATCCATTATAAACCACCAACATAACTTGAAAACATGCATGAAAATGATCACCAACATAGACTTAGGGGTTTAAACTGATAATTTATATGAGTTTTGGTGAATCTGTGTTTCCATCAGGGTTTATCCAGAAAACCATCAAAGGGATCAAATCAACAAATTTAATCGCACTTATTCGCAGCGAAAACAACCTCAGAAGGTTCTAGAAGACTCGAGAGGACACCGCACCGAAGTGGAGGCCAAGGCGCCACCAGGCAGGTCCCACCTACAAGCTGGCCGGCCCCTAGGGCCCACCTGTCAGCCCCCCGTTCGTATGTTGGTTCTCCACCGCCTTAAGGATTGCATCTACGCCATTTATTCAAGTTGGTTTGATCCGAAAGTCCACAATTGGCGCTCCGACCTATATATACCAGCCCCTGCCCCCCTCCCTCAGACAGATTTCCATAAGTCAATTTCAGATTAGAAATTAGGGTTTTCAGAGAGAAGAGAATAGAGCTCCAATTCTTCTAGTATAGGCTAGCTAGTAAGGTTCAAGTAGAGTTTAGGCTATTGCTCAGGATTTCGGATTCGCCGTCTAGAGGCCGGTATATCCATTGTATCCTTCTTTATTTATGACTTTCTTCTACTTCAATATTATGTTGCTATTTATTATGTTCCTAGTTTGCTTTGGTAATATACTTGATATGGTTATGATTGATTATGAATATATGCATATGTTTGTAAAGCGCTTAGCTCAATACTCGAGTGAGTTAAGTGGTCAACATTATGTAAGCGTGGTGCTTAAATATTGTTTACCTGCGGATGCATTCTACACTCTAGGTCATGTGGTAGATCGCGGATGTGACACTTCCGTTGAGTCCTTTGTAGTCCACTCCCTGTTTGTAGAGCAAGTAGAACCCGATTGCGAAGGGAGTCAAGCTCTGCTCTTGATCTTCCTTAGTAATGTTCCTTATGCATAGATCCAGAGTTAATTATGCTATAGATGAAAGTGTATATACTTGGATGTACAAAAGACTTAGTAAATAAGGAATGATTTAGAAATCTTTTGCTCTTAACTAATCTTCTACCTAGCCATGCTACATTTATGAGTATCTATTTCTATCTATGGATTACTATCAATGCCTTACACTAATTATTTATTTATCATTTGACTTACCCCTACTATAGCATGAGAGTGATCTTATCATAAGTATGCATGTTTGTTAATGGCCCCGTTCGCGTGCCCTTAAACCCGGCTTGATCTGCTTCTTTTTTCATCCGGAATAGTATTTTTCTCTCACAAATTCCTCCAGCATTCCTCCAAACCATCCAAATTCCTCTAAGTGAACATGCCCAATATCTCTTGCCACCCCATCGCTCCTCCCTGTGGATAAAATATAAATAACGATACCTGGTATACTCCCGGGTGAAATGCTATAATGGTATATTATCTGTGCGCTTGCGAATACTACACACACAAAGTGTTTTCAATAATTACCAACAATGCATTTCTGGCATCATTGCTAGGGATGACAACTTAGTAAAGAGTGATGCTAAGAAATGCCAACAAACATTTCTGGCGCCGTTGCCAGGGAGGGTTACAAGGCTAAGAGAATTGATCAAATAAATACTTATTAGCAGTCTTACCCTTGTTTGTCTTTGTTCATATCTGATACAGGGTATTGCAGGATTGGTTCTGATTCATTAACAAATTCCATCTTTTGACCGAGCCTGAGATCAATGCAACTCTAACAAATTTTCTTTAGTTACATAATAAGTGTCTAACACGACTAAAAAAGTTTCATAGAGACGAGTCCTCTAATTAATAGAGTCTGGACATCTTTGCACGTCACCTCTAAAAACAGTGAGGCGAGCTCAAGGCAAACACCCACATCTGTTTACCTCTTTTCAGAGATGGACATTCTAAAATGACCATGCTATTAGTAATATATTAGAAGAAATCATGTGACTATAACTTGCGATGCGTTATCACGGTGTCCAGCTATGGAGGTTTATCCCGGGCTTAGAAAATCATTTTTCTATATTTGTTATCCTCTTTTTTTGTTTGTGAAAGAATATTTATAGAGACAAGCCTATTAATAACACCGAACTTAAGCTACACTAGTAAAAAGCTAAATTTTAAAATGGTCCATTGACAAAGATCATTTGGCAGACTCAGTAAATAAAAAATGCATCTGAAATGAAGTAGTGCAGTGGTATGGTACGAAGCCATGCATGCTAAAGAGCATGTTTAGGACAGCTCCAGCTCCAAAAGTAAATCCAGAGCACGAGATCCACCATGGATGTAGGCTCTGATTGGGACCTTTCCACCATGAATCTAGATTCATATGCAATTATAAAAGATTATTAAGGGACTAAAACAAAAAAGCACAAGATTATCCCATCGTCCTCCACGGTGCTTTGGTTGGGTGAGGCCTCTGTTGGAACGGGCACGGCCACGGCGGGCCGGGTGTGGCGTGGCCACGATGGCGCCAGGCTTGGCGCAACCAAGGAGGAGCTGGGCAGGACGGCAGCATTGGGAAGGACGCGATTGGCGACGCCACGGAGACGAAGAACGAAGGGGATGGAGAATACAATGAACCGGTAAGTTGCGTAACCCGTGGTAGTACTGGGTAATTTTCTCCAACTCTATGAAAAAGGAGTTTTCAGAGCATCCTTTGGAGAGCGCTATAGATTTCATGGATCTAAGGAGCTAAATCCATGGTTTGGTGAATCAAGCGTTTGGCTAGATAAAGCAGAAGTTGAGCTATTTTTTTTTCCTCGATATGGAGCTGTAGAGAGCTGTCTCACTCCCATACAGCTTGGCGAGATGCACATAAGTCTAGCCGTCTAGGTGGGTGTACCTTTCTTCTAAATTCTAAAAACTCCAGTTATATCCCGTGACTGGTCGCTGCAGGGTAACGTGGTTCCTTGTACGTGGAGGCCGCACAGCCGCGCATACCAACAACCACAAGATCACTGCGCGTCTAAATTTGCGCTTTCTCTGGTGCCAACTACCCAGCTATTGATATATGTATGTACTATATATAATAATGTAACAAATATATGGAACTCCGTATCACGCCTACAATCTTGTGCCTGCAATACTGCATCCCTATTCCCTCCTCCCTCGGCTCGTTCAGTTCTGCTGCGGCCGGCGGCGACGTGAGCTCGCGACGACGACATGGTCTCCCTCAATTCTTCCTCTCCCTCTCCTCTTGCTAGCTCCACAAGCATCGATCAGACTCAGACGATCGCATCGCTACTCGAGCTGACAACTCAAATCAATCAAACATAATCGATCTCTACTCATTTTCCTCTGTCGTCCTGCCGGCAGAGCTCGGTGGTAAAGCTTGGGACGTGGGGCGGCGACGGTGGCAGCGCCTGCGACCTCACGGTCGCGCCGCAGCGGCTGGAGAGCATCACCATCCGCTGGGGCAAGGTCATCGACTGGATCGCCTTCTCCTACCGTGACCGGAGCGGGAAGCTTCACACCGCCGGGCCCTGGGGCGGCAACGGCAAAGGAGAGGGCACGGAGACGGTGAGTTCCGACGATCCTTAGCTCGCATCAACTCAATTGTTGTTTCCATAATTCTTTCGCACCTATATATATCCGCAAATGCATGCATGCAGATCACGCTGGAGCCCTCGGAGTATGTAACGGGAGTTGCCTGGTCAGTGGGCCCATTCACGTTCAAGAACGTGGAGTGTTGCATCACCTCCATCAAGGTCGTGACCAACCTCCGCAGCTACGGGCCTTTCGGCCACGGAGTAGACAGCACGCACCACAATCTGCCCGTGCTCAACGGCAGCGTCGTCGGCGTGTTCGCCCGCGCAGGAGATTTTCTTGACGCCATCGGTTTCTACATCCTCCCAGCTGCCCTCCCTGCTACGAAACCTACGGAAGCTGACCAAGAAGAAAAAGAGAAGGAGAAATCTGGCCAAGAAGAAAAAGAGAAGGAGAAGGAGAAATCTGGCCAAGAAGAAAAAGAGGAGAAGGAGAAATCTGGCCAAGAAGAAAAAGAGAAGGAGAATTCTGGCCAAGAAGAAAAAAAGAAGGAGAAATCTGTCCAAGAAGAAAAAGAGAATGGAAAATCATAATCATAGTTTGTTCTCTATGAGAAGGAATCATAACCCTTGCCAGTTCTCTTTGTGGGCTCTTATCAATCATCTCTTATGTCTACACGGGGGCTCTAATCAATTTTCAGAGAATAAAGAATATCTTTTTTCTACTTTGTGCCTCTATGTTTTTCTACTTTGATCTACTATGTTGATTATGAGACACGAAGAGAAAAAGGTCTCAATCGCTGGCGAGGTGCTTTACGACGCACCGGTCCTGAATCCAGTGGCCAACTATGTTGCTATATACGATATAGATACCAAAAATGAATGTGTTTGGACATGCCATGCCGAGTCATAGATATGTGTACCACTCAGTTCGATCCATTATCATTTTTTTTGTGAACGTGCCTGTACACGTGTTTCATTAAGAGAGAGGAGTTTTACAATGCTTTGTTAACCCACGGGCGAGATTCCTAGAATTACCAAAGTGTTGGAGAACACACAAGCAGACGTATCGCGCGAGGTAATCTTTGTGTCATAAAAAATACTGTGCGGCATGTGTACTTTCCTTGTGATGTTTCAAAAATGATTTAGTTGAGACTGTAGAACGAATAAGGTTTATAGATTGAAAACAAATTACGTCTATCGTAGTCTATCAAGTCAAATTCTCATAAATATGCCGTGTTTTTAAAAAGGAATCATTTTAAATTAAAACACAACATGGAAATTGTTGGGACACGGTTATGAGCCGCAGAGACTAAGGCGCACCACAGCAGTAGGAACTAACATTAACCGGTTGCATAAGTGATGTGCAGGGAAATTGACCAGAAGCCTTCGCCCTTGCGGCCCCGCCCGGCAAAGGTCAATAGGTTGCGGCGAAGGTTCGCCGGACTTAGTACAAGGCGGAGGCTCCGGTGATGTTAGCGAAGGCAATGGATCAAGCGGTGAAATGGAGGCATAGGTGGAGGCCTCCAGGGCGGAGATCAAGAAGAACCCTTGGAGACCTCCACCAAGAAGGAGGAAGTTCCTGCAGGAGTTAGATACTGGGCCGTGGGCCGCCTGCAGGCACGCGGACACGGCCCAAGAAGCAAAGGAGGTTCAAGAAAAGGATACCTAGCAGTCAGCATTAGCAGGAGGGATATTCTCGGAATGTACCCCAGCTGTCAAGGGGCAAAGATGTAAAGTAGGAAGGTAGCAAACATCGTCCTATAAAAGGGGGGACTTGAATCCTGTGTAAGAGAGGTTGGTGAATTTATTGATGAAACCCTAATTGTGCTTGGGCCCACCTAACATTTCCTCAGCCTTCACTTAGGGCATCAGCCTAGGCGAAGGTCCCACCGTCTCATTCCTGCTGGAAATCCGGTTTTTCAACATTGGCGCCCACCGCGTGTAGGCCAAGCAAAACCCACAATGGCAAGAAAGAGAGCAGCCTCCGCAAGAGCACCTTCGGAGCCTACCACAAGGGGAAGGCCTAGGTGTAACGCCCCAACACCTATGCTACTGCTATCAAAGAGCCAGTCATAGAAGAAGATGCTGCGAATGATCAGCCTATAGAAACCGAGGAGCAGCCGGGGCCAGAACCAACCCCAGAGCAAGTGCTCCAACAGCTCCAAACCTAGTTACAGAGCACACAGCAAGAAAGAGATAGGTTGGCGGCAACCTTCGCCGCAAACCAAAGGGCAGTTCAGGCATCACTTCAGGCCGCAGAGATCAAACAACAGTTGGCTATCTTGCAGGCGGAGATTCAAAGCATGCAGCTTAGTCAACCTCTTTCCAACACACCTAACCAGCACCAACTCAGCAAATCAGAGCCAACTTAACCCTTCGCCAGGTTTGGCCACCCAACCAACCTTCGGCGCACCTTTCACCTCACCTCCAGCCCACAGAACCATAGATTCAAAATCTCCACTATCCGAAGGAACCCAAAGCTTACATTGGCCCTCATCTTACAAACCCATTACCCTACCCAAATTCAACGGAAGATCAGACCTGCGCCCGTTCATCATGAGTTTCGAGGCAGCTGTATCCTCCGCAGGTGGGAATGACACTGTCTTGGCCAAGTCATTAGTTATTGCAGCCGAAGGTGATGCATTGGCATGGTATTCGATGTTGAGACCAAGTACAGTATATTCCTGGGAAGACCTCCGGGACAAAATGATAGCTAACTTCAAAGGGTTTACCACTGAGTCCTTAACCTCAATGGACCTGTTCCAGTGCAAACAAAATCAAGGGGAGGATCTAAGGGATTATTTTCAGAGATTTGTGCAGCTAAAAGCAAAGGCATCAAATGTCCCAGAAGATGTCACAATTGAAGCCTCAATCAAAGGCCTCCGCATCGGAGCTTTCGTAGCTCATCTAGGTCAAGAAAAGCCAAGCACAATAGAGGAACTCTACAATGAGTTAGAAAAGTATTACAGGTTAGGTAATGACCTTCGTAAAAGGCTAGAAGAGCAAAATCAGAATAAGCAGTACCAAGGGAGCAGCAGGAATGCACAAAAGGCCAACAAAAGCCAAGGCCAATCACAACCACAGCAACAACCAGATCAACAAGTTTTTAATATAGAGCGGCAAGGGAACAGCCAGTAAGGGCAGCAGATGCTAGAGGCAGCCCTAAACAAAGTACCACAAAAGCAGTACGAAGGCAAGAAATACAATCAAAAGGAAGAACTGAAACAAAAACCAGGAACCAAGATAACGAAGGCAGTATTGTTTCTTTCATGAAGAGAACAAAGGGCACATCACTAGAGATTGCCTAGATGCGATGGAAAACTCAAGAGAGGATAAAGAACAGGGCAAACCCTCAACCTTCGCCCCAACAACCCGCTAGAGAAGTTAACCACACCTTCGCTGCACCCTCACAGCAGCCATACTGCCCAATTTACCCAAGCCTTAACTCTAATCAAATCCACCCAACCACCTTAGCAGCCGCATACTACCCTAACTTTTTACCTGCATGGTGACCAAGCACCCAGCAGCAAGGGCAGGCCAGTAACCAGCGCACAGAAGCCAGCCTCACCTACATAAACCCAAGGCCTCCGCACATAACATTCATCGAGACAAACCAACCAGCCCAAATTCACAACAGACAGCTCAAAGCACTACCTCCACCTCCACCCCCACCACAGCTACCTGCGCCAAAAAAAATGAACCTAACCCAAAAAACCAAATCAATCCCCACACACCTCTGCCTACGATAGGCATGATACTGCCAATAATCAGAGGCTCTTCAATGGAATTCCAGACGAAGAAGCAGAAGAAGGATCATCTTAGGCTTGTCAACAACATAGCAGTATTGGGTCCAATACGCTGCATAGATTGGTCGAAGACACCCATCACATTCTCAGAACAAGACCTCTAGTTGGAAAGCTACCCCCATGCTGACGCCATGGTAATCAAAGCCAATATAGCAGGATGAAAAATTAACAGGGTTCTCATAGACTCTGGAAGCTCTGCATATATCATCTTTGTTAATGCCTTCGATCAGATGAAATTAAGCAGAAGCCAATTGCAGCCTCCGGATTCATCACTAATCGGCTTCGGAGGAAAGAAGGTCGATGCATTGGAAAAAGTATCCCTGCCAGTTTCCTTCAGAGGGCAAGAAAACGCAAGAACAGAATATGTAACCTTCGATGTAGTGGACCTCTACTAGCTACCCATACAACGCCATCTTCGACAGAGGATTTGCAAACAAGTTCAATGCAGCCATCCATATGGGTTATCTTTGTATGAAAATGCCAGCACTATATGGTACCATCACAGTCCACGGTAGTCAGAAGGAGGCAAGAAACATAGAGAGAGCCATCTACAAGTCTCAGCGAAACATCACCTCTGTTGAGTCAGCCAAGAGCAATACGCTGGTGCCTCCGGACATACCGAAGGGCAAGACAGACCTCAAAGAACAAGAAGAAATAAAGTCAGTACCATTGGAGGAGGCAGTACCGGACAGGAAAGTCATTATCAAAGGCAATCTTTCTAATGATGGAGAGGCAGAGCTCGTAGAGACCTTAGCCAAGAACAAAGATGTCTTCACATGGTCAGCTTCTGACCTGAAAAGAGTCAGTAGAGATATTATACAACACTCTCGATATCAACCCTAAAATGAAGCCAAGGAAGCAGCGATAAAGGAAAATATTGGAAGACAGAATATTAGCAGCGAAGGCTGAGGTGCAGAGACTGTTAGATGCAAATGTCATCAGAGAAATCAAATACTCAGAGTGGTTGGCAAACGTAGTGTTGGTACCTAAGAAAAATGGAAGGATGAGGATGTGCATAGATTTCACAGATCTCAACAAATCCGGTAAGAAAGATCCATTTCTGCTGCCAAGGATAGACACCTTCGTGGACAAGGCAGCAGGCTACAAGCGATTTTCACTCCTGGACTGTTTCTCAGGGTATCACCAGATCTGGCTCAACAAGGAAGATGAGGAAAAAACAAGCTTTACTACTCCTTTTGTAACATATTGTTACATCAGAATGCTCGAAGGGCTCAAGAATGCAGGATCAACCTTCGCCAGAATGACAAAAGCAGTTCTCGGCCTCTAGTTGCAGAAAAACATCATAGCTTATGTCGATGACATTGTGGTGATGAGCAAGAATGAAGAGGATCACATTGCAGATCTCAAAGAAACCTTCGCCAATCTCAGAGCAACTGGACTCAAGCTAAACCTAGAAAAGTGTGTCTTCGGTGTAAGCCGAGGCAAAATGCTCGGGTATATCATAGGACCCGAAGGCATAAGAGCAAACCCAAAAAATACGAAGGCCATTATCTCAATGGTAAAACCATTAACCAAGAAAGAAGTCCAAAAGCTCATAGGGAGAATAGCAGCGCTAAACAGATTAATCTCAAAGTCAGCAGAGCGTAGTCTCCCATTTTTCAAAGCCCTAAGAGGCGAAGACAAAGTGGAATGGGGTCTGGAGCAGTCGATGGCCTTCTAGCAGCTCAAAAGCTACATGGCCTCTGAGCTCCTAGTCATAGTACCAGATCCGTAGGCACCACTACTGCTATACGTAGCAGCCTTCGATGATGTAGTTAGTGGAGT